CACCAGTGTGATCCCAAACACCGAGTAGTGCTGATGAAGCAGAGCTTCTATGGAACCTGAGGAAGTACTTGATCCTGCTGGCAACTTTATCAGCCACTATCACCTACCCGGCGGGGGGCACAACCGGGTGGTCTCTGGCCAGATAACCAGCAAGGCTACCTTGCCAGTGACGTTGTCATGTTTCTTAGCCGCACCAAGCGGTGCAAGATGTTCTTCTACTGCAACACAACAGCATTCATTACATCACCCATTGTTTGATCCTGCTCCTGGTCAAGGAGCTGAGACGGAATGCAATTTGGCTTCGTTTGCTGCAGTTTGCGCTGCTGCTTGACCTGCTCGAACTTGTGGGGGGCTATGCTGCCATGAACCGCAGGGAGGTGAGAACATCCGTTTATATCTGGGTATTAGTTGTTGGCATCTTCACATATGTCGGACTTCATGTAGTATTCTTCCGCCATCTAGCTCCTGAATGGCTTGGAGAAATATTCAGGGACATCCAGAGGTTCTGGGAGGATTCTATAGCACACCTTTTCAACAGAAGGCACAACATAAAACATGAGCTAGATGCTCCTATCCAAGATGAAAAGGAGGCACTGGAGAAGAATCACGGTTTCTTTCTGGTTGCAGCTACATTGGCAGCAACAAAGACATATACTGCAGGGCTAAGTCCACCAGGCGGCAGATCTTACTAGGATGATAACAAGGGTAGCCACATTGCTGGTGACCTGGTGCTTTGAGACCAATACCCCCTCGGCTTCAATGTGTTTATGTTCTTCAATAAAACTGCCTTTTCTGGATCCTTTGTCATCATCATCATGCTTCTCAGTAAAACGAGTTCACACTCGAGGGTGGCCCGATCTTCACGTCGTAGGATCGAATCGGGAGGGATAACTAGCTGCAAGCAACCGGGATAACTAGCTTCATAGCCTGGTCGCCTTCCACGAGAATGACTAGAACTTTTGACTCACAACTCCAAATGATGTGAAGTTTTTTTGCATTGGAAAGTAAATTTGATGTAGCTTCTGGTGATGTACCCATATGTCCCCGTCTCTCCTCCAAATGGGTGTGGCACAACGAAACACCAAAGGTAAAAACTGGGAGCATCAGCTTCACTTGAAACTTGTTTTGACAACACTTGTTTCTTCGACTTTGTTTCTTCATGCGCTAAGATATTATTTGCTTCCTTTGATATTGCACCTGAAATAACCAACAACAAGGAGATGAAAGCATAGTTGTGTCATCAAGGTTACAAGGTAAACTTAAGTTAGCGTTCACCATGATTTCTCCTTTGATGTTTGCGTGTGTAACAATGGTTGCCATGTCCCCATCTCAGGAGAGCTTCGGCGCCGATGAGGGTCGACGGGCTCGAGCGGACGCAAGAACGACGAGGGCGAGAGGAAGAAGAAAGGTTCGAGCGGGCGCGAGGTAAAAATGGATCTGGGACCCCTGCCATCCTATTTATAGACAGGGTAAATACCCAAGCGTCACGGTCAAACCCTAGGTGGCACACTAACTTTTTGCTAAGAAGGCACCTCGATTCTCGCGTTGACATGATTTGGCCTAGATTGGGAGTACCAGAAGAGAATGGGCAAAAATAAAAGATAAGTATGAAAGAAGTATTCATAACCGGTGAAAAATGGCCGAGAGGTGGAATAAGAGACGTCTTAGCTCGAAGCATGGGACAAAGCTGACTCTTGCAGGTGATACCCGTATTTTGGTCCTTAATACTTTTAGCTTACTCTTATTTTCAAGGAAAGCTTAGCAGGAATAAATCCAAGCTAACTCGAGGGCTAATGTTGGGGATATTCCCCACAGGTGAGACCCAGCCAAAGGAAACCCGGCGAAGGATTGGAAGTGTAACCTGGCCTGTGTTGAAACCCGCCAAGATCCAGAAGGCCCACACTGGGTAGCATTGTAAGAGATGCCGACTGGTCCATGGGCTTGTAAGGAAAACCCGACCTAGGGTAGCCGGCTTATGACAAATCCCAAGCCAGAAGGAGTTCTCTGAACTTGGAAGACAAAGAAGATCTACAAGATTTAGAATAGGACTCTGATTATGGGTACAACCCGGAATCCACTGTAAGCTAGGGACCCGACCTATTATATAAAGGGGGTTTCTGGGACGTCCAAAGGGACAGACAAGTTAGAATCTCTCGAAAACTAGGTAGCAAGATACTAGCACCCTTATAATTGAGATTATCATCATCAATAGCAATCAAGCACGAGTAGACTTTTACCTCCGCCGTGAGGGGCCGAACCTGGATAAACTCGTGTCTTTCGGTTCCGATCAACCCCGTCCAAACTTACACCTAGCAGCAATGTCCTCACAACTTAGTTCTCCTATGAAGACATTTGCCGTGACAAAACCACGACACATGCTCCACTGTCAGGTCATCAGTGTCAGGTCATCTACTGCTAGGTGATAGAGGCAAGTGGAATGCCTCAACCGACCATTATTTGTATAACAACACACATATTTTTACCAACCAAATGTGGTACCCCAGGCCTATAAGGGGAGGGCCAAGGTCGAAAGAGGGAGAAGCAGGTTAGCACCCGCAACACTACCAGCAACCACCATTGAGCAGAAGACTAGCTAGTAGCTAAGAAGAAGAGTAGAGATAGGAGTGTTCGGGCACTCTACCTAGTACCGGGACCAATATTGGTCTCACCCAGACCACCGCCTTTGTAACACCGGAGCACTTGTATTCCTTAGATTATATCAATACCAACACGACGTAGGTTTTTACACTAACATGGCGAACTGGGCCTTACAAAATCCCCTGTGTCCTTACTTTCTCATGTGCCTTTGATAGTGGATTGACTAGGCGTTTAGCCCCTGGTAGAACTCACAAATATCCTTGATCCCTGGTGTCCGGAGAACACACTCCGACACATGTGCCTCCACTCCCTCCGCCATGAGCAAGAACAAGAGTTTGCACATATAGAAGCGCCAAGGAAAAAACGTTTAAGGGAATGTTGGTCCTCATCAACGACCAACTCTACAAGATCAGACTGGTCAAGTTCGAGCGAGTCGCTCGTGCCCTTGCCAACAAGGGTAAGGGCTGGAGCGTGCGGGTCGAAGTCCGCGCCCGACCGTCACCGCCCGTTGGACGCGGTCGATTGTCTGCGCGAGACGGAGCGGTTGCGTCACGATCGATCAGGGCTGCCGCGACTCCTGAGAGGTTTTTCGCCACTAGAAGGATGATGATGATGGATTGGCCGGTGATGGAGGTGTTGATGGCCTCGGAGCCCATCCCGCGAGGTCACTGTCTGGTACCTCGCTTAGTTTAATTTTGGTTCAAATTTCGTTCAGTGCTTGAACTTCGTTAAGTTTTGTCCTTTTGGTTATAAATATATCAAAATTTAATAAATATTAATTTCATCCATTCTTGTGAAAGATTAATTTGAAATGGCGTTTGATGCACCGGGTTGGATAGCCGCGCCAATCCTTTGCACGGACGTGTCCGTGGACGTTTGATGTGTCCGTCTTCGATTTGATGCTTGGAGTTGCCTTTACAGGTGGTCCCCACTGTCCAGCAAGCCCCACACAGCCCCTCTTCTTGCATCACGCGTTGTCTGGCTGACTGCAGGGTCTCGCATCACTCGATGAACGTCATCGGTGACATCGACCTCAGTGACACAAGACGGCTCCGGGAGTTCTCTCGCTGATGGTCCAGCTGATCGCGCTGCCCGACACCAGCGCAACCACAGCATGTTTCCAACCGGCGACGCTGCCGCCGGGACGCCTCGATGCAGGAGGCGGCCAGCTTGCGACGGAGTGGCTGGGTGCAGCTTGCGAGGAGCGCGCGGCAGGTGCTCGACGAAATGCGCCGGCTGCATAGCCCGGCAGGTGCTCGAGGGTAGCGCGTGCAAGAAAATCCCAATGGACCCGGTGCACGCCTGCCGCCCGGCCCGGCCCGGCCCGCTGCTGCAGTGCCCGAGGCGCCTGCTACTGTAGCAGGTATGCATGTGCACGCTCCTTGCTCTTATCCTCTTGCGTTTCATTGCACTCGCGCTGTATGATGGGGCTGCTTGGGCATGGGTATTTTCTACACTTTTTTCGAGGCAACGAACGTGGGTATTTCAGTTATCAATGTGCAAAAGTTCAGAAAAAGGTCACTCCCTCCTCTGCTTGCCGTGTGAAACTATTGGGAAATGGATTTGCATAGTCTTAAGGGGTTGGTGATAGGACCCAGGGGACAGGCACGCAGACTTGGGCATTGGCAGCCCAGTCTTCGGTCCGAGGATGCATACATCTGGTCGCAGCTTGTTGTTTTGTCGTCCTGGCCGGACTTAGAAACATGCCGACCTCTGTCCCTGTGGCAACCTGGTACTTGAATGGCATTATATATTAGCTTGCACTTAATAAATAAAGTAAATCTAGCACGATTCTCGCTGGATACTCACAGGCATAGGCACAGTCACAGTCACGGAGTATCATACAGTATAATATACTCCAGTATTCAGATGGAAAGGCATGAAGGATGTCGACATGCTTTCTTGAATGTTTGTGCAAGTTGTATCATGGCTTGCGAATAATACAAGGTATCCTATTGCTATTCGGTAGGCATGCATGGATGTTGTAAATATGCTGTAATATGAGATTATCTGAACCCAGCACACATTTTGCCCACATAAGTAAGTTTGTGCTGCTCCAAATTATAGGTAGGAGTGTAGTCAATAGCTGCATGAAGCTAGAACTCACTAGGAGTAGACTGCAGAAAAGGACTGCTGCGCTTTTTATGGCCACAACGGCGAAGATTCAGCTATTTGAACGGTCCACGTATTTGTCCATGGGATATTATTGGTGGGCTGGGACTGCGATGTGGCTTTGAAGTTTAGTTCTTTATCTTGTCCACTCCCCCCCACCCCCTGTGCAGTGACACTGTGGAACTCTTAGAGACCAAGACCAGCGCCGGGTAGTTCACCTCAGTCTTGCAAACCCACATACGCTACAATCTTTAGAGAGGAGCTAGAGATTTTCAAGGAATCTCAGAGCCATGGAGGATCCCGGAGAGCAGAATGGCAATGCCCATGCCCCTGTAGCTGCCGGCAACACTCTCGACGAGCCGCAGCAGCTGCAGCAAGACGGTGCCGACGAGGCCGAGCCGCAGCAGCTGCAACAAGAGGGCGCCAACGAGGAGGCCGAGCTCCTATGGAAGCTGAGGAAGTACCTGGTGCTGATGGCCATCCTCGTGGCGGCCATCACGTTCCAGGCGGGGCTGGCCCCGCCGGGCGGCTTCTGGCAGCACAACGACGAGCACGGCCACGTCGCCAGCGACATCGTGATGAAGTCCAGCTACCCCAGGCGGTACCTTGCCTTCTTCTACTACAACACCATGGCGTTCGGGGCCTCGCTCCTGGTGCTCATACTGCTCCTGCTGAGGGAGCTGACCCACAAGGCCGCCTGGCTCCGCGCGCTCCAGTTCGCCATGATTCTTGGCTTACTGGGGCTCATGGGGGCCTTCGCCGCTGGGAGCTGCAGGGAGGTGAGGACCTCTGCTTACATCTGGGTGTTACTCCTTGGCATCTCCGCCTATGTCACACTCCATGAGGTGTTCTTCAAGCACCTGGCACCTGAGCGGCTGCGAAAATTTCTATCCGGTGTTAGTAAACGTTGGAAGGGAACTCCGGGGGACATTTTCACGTCATCAAAACCAGATGAGCAAAAGGCTTCAAATGCAGAGAGGGTAGCCGATGAGGGAGTGACTTCAATCCAGATGGAAGAACCTGAAAGAAATGGCAGCTCCGTGCAGGTTCTTGCAGAAGAAGAGAAGAAGAAAAAGGAGAAAGAGGCTGCAGACAGAGAGGAAGATCTTGAAAGAAATCGCAGCTCCTTGCTGGTTCTTGCCACATTGGTAGCAACAGTGACATATGTGGCAGGGCTAACCCCTCCAGGTGGCTTCTGGTCTGATGACAACAAGAACCACATTCCTGGTGATCCGGTGCTGCGAGACCACTATCCACGCCGATTCAAGGCCTTCTTCTATTGCAATGCCACTGCTTTTGCTGGATCACTTGTCATCATCATCATGGTCCTCAGTCAAACAGCAGTGGATCATGTTGTCAAGTCAAATGCTCTGCGGTTGTGTGTGGTAGTCAGTCTATTTGGGCTTATGGGGGCATATGCTGCTGGAAGTTGCAGGGAGGTACATACATCTATCTATGTCTTTGCACTTGTTGGCACAGTCTTGCTCTACCTCATCATCCAGTGTATTGAACCTGCTCTGTCTAAGTTGGCATGTATTGCAAACACCATCACACGTGTGAAAGAGAGAAATAAAGAAATGGTTCGGAAGCTGAGGGATTTCATCACTGACTTGTTAAAATCTCCCATACCAGTACAAGATCAGTCAGACAACAGCACTCCAGGCACTGATGGTAAGGATTTCCAGAAGTTGCGCACATACCTTCTATTACTTGGCATCCTTGCTGCCACAGTCACATTCCAAGCTGGGCTGAATCCACCAGGAGGCTTTTGGACAGATAACAGTGATGGGCATATTGCTGGTGATCCAATTTTGGAGACCATCAGTCCCAAGCGCTACAAGGCATTCTTCTATTGCAATGCCACAGCATTTGTAGCCTCTTTGGCCATCATCATCCTACTCCAGAGCCAGTTGATTACCATTCATGCCATGAAGCGTTATGTACTGCAAACAGCAATGACACTGGTGCTCTTTGGTCTTATGGGAGCCTACGTCGCTGGAAGCAGCAGGAAGTTCTCAACATCCATTTATGTGTTCGTCCTAGTCCTCCTAGTTTTCGCCTATGTTGTACTTCATATTCTATATGAGAGGGCACTAGGGAATACTGGGAGCACAGCAGGGAGTACTGAGAGCACAGCAGGGAATACCGAGAGCACAGTAGGGAATACTGGGGTTTCCATGCCAGAAACCCCCCCAAATCCTAGTTCTTCTGAACCTACTCTTGAAGAAAAAAAAGATTTAACCTCCCAAAATCCTAGTTCTTCTGAACCTACTCCTGAAGAAAAAAAAGATTTGCAGAAGAGGCGCAAGTTTCTGATGTTGCTCGCAATTCTAGCAGCTTCTATCACATACCAAACTGGTATAAGCCCACCAGGTGGCTTTTGGACTAACGGCCACCGAGCAGGTTATCCAGTGTTTCGTGACGAGTTCCGAAACCGCTATAGGGTGTTCTTCTACTTCAATGCTACTGCTTTCATGGCATCCCTGGCAGTAATTCTGTTGCTTGTTAACAAGAGGCTATGCAACAAAGGTCTGAGGTGCCATGCGCTATGTGCATGCGTATTGGTTGATCTGATCAGCCTCATGGGTGCTTTTGCTACGGGAAGCTGCAGAGAAGTGCCAACATCTGGCTATGTCATTCTTGTTGTTCTTGCAGTGTTTGTCTATGTCATAATTCAAGTCCTGGTTCTGACACCAAAAGATAAGTGGAAAGAGTTGCTGCGGCCTTCTAAGAACCAACATTCATCAATGAATCACACGAGAAGTATACATGATACTGATAGTAAGAGAACAGAGCACAAATGGCGCAAAGATTTGATGCTGATTGGAACTCTTGCAGTCACTGTCACATACCAAGCCGGTCTGCTTCCGCCAGGAGGAGTTTGGCCTGATGACCAGGATGGCCATTTTGCAGGTGACCCTATCCTCCATGATACCAACCTAACACGGTACAAGGTATTCTTCTATTGCAACGCCACAGCATTCATGGCCTCAATGGTCATGGTCATCCTCCTGCTGAACAACACAATAAGCAAGCACAAGAGATCTCTCTTTGCCATGAAAACAGCAATGGTCTTGGACTTGCTTGGTTTACTTGGGGCATATGCTGCAGGCAGCTGCAGGAAGTTGAAGACATCTGCGTACATTTTTGCACTTGTCATTGCCGTGATAATCTACATCGTCATTCATGTCTTGTTGTCATTTGACGAAGTGGCAAGGTTAGTGAAGCAGAAGGGGAAAAGGTGGGTGCGATGTCTGAAAAGGTGTTTCTGTTGCAACTGATTCAAGCAATCAACCATCTGACGGGGAACCAGGAAAAAGTCCTCTGCCTGTGTAAGAGTAGTCTCAGTTGTGACATTTGTTCAGTCTATCATGAGATAGACACAACCTCCAAAGTTGTAATTTGTGTTTTATTGTTGCTCAAGGCCATCATGTAGTATTATTTGATGCATTCTTTGAATGTGAGCAAAAGATGATATAAATGACAATTGTGAGATGTGAAGTAGTTCTTTCTTAGTTAACAATTTGTGGAATTACCTTCTGAAGTGAAAATTGTTTGCCTGCACGAATATGCAGATCATATGGTAACCCAGAAATGCAATATGCCAATATTTATTAGTGGTAGAGAATGCTAACTGACAATATCCAAATTTGCAATGACAAAAGAATAAGCATCTCGTGGAGAGGGGCAAAACAGTCTGCATAGATACTCAATCCTTGGAACAATACTGTAAGAGAGATAATAGGAGTAATGTTCCCAAGTGAGGATGTAATTTTAGCTAAATAATCTCTTTGAAAATGACGAAATTAAGTGGATTACTGCAGCGCAGTGTCACTAGCATTTTATCAGCACTGGAACACTGATACCTCCATTGGACTCTTGAGTTGAGTTCTCCTGTTCTTGTGTGTACATGATGTTCAGGTATGAGGTTATTTTGGGTATGCAATATTTCTACATACTGCACTTTCTCTGCTTTTACAAATAAAATTTCAATGGGGGGAGGGGGGTTTGGAAGATACTTGTTCAAGAATGGAGAGACATGGCAGGAATAAACCTTCCTTTCTTTTTTGCAAGAAAGGAAGGAGTAGATCTTTGGCGGGACTACCAGGACCTCCCTGGTTTCTGTGATGAAATTCCATCAACAGGGCCTGTGAGGAAGAGCCCTTGTCAGTGTCTGATGAATTTCTCTGTAACACAGCGCATCAACTGCTTGGTGAAGTGCCAGGAGATTGCACAAATAACACTGCGTCTCAGCTTGCCAAAACTAATCGGCATGGGCCATCTGTGGCCCAAACTCAGTGGAATGATTGGGATGAGGACCTGATTTTGGGAGGTGCAGAATGCCAGGTTGGACAGGGCATCTGCTTAGGCCCTCCACTATGTAGGCCAAAACAGGTGCCAAATTCACTTTTGATGCATTTGGCATCGATGACGCTCAGCTGGTGCCCTCAAAAAAATTCAGGGCATCGGAGCACTTACTTGCTTCGGTGCCAAATTCACTCACGCAATAAAAAAAAGCACTTTTATGGGAGAGGGAGAGGCTGGTGTAGTTGGGTTTATTGATTTGTTTATATATATGTGGGACTGTGTGCACAGCGGTACCAAACTCTCTAACGTTGTGAGAGCAGTGCCAAAAGTTTTTTATATTTGGCATCGATGCGTACATGGCATACTTTTCAGAAGTATGGCACCGGACACATAGTGGAAGGCCTATGCTCTAAATGATTTTGCTTCAGTGTCGGCCTGCCATCAACATTAGAAGCCAGTGAAAGCTAAATGTCCATGAATAACCAAGTTTATTCATTGTGTTCCCAAGCATTTATTCATTCGAGGAAGACCAGGATGACAGAATAATGGAACCTTTATGTGTTCCCATTACTATCTGCCCCAGCAATGAAAGAAACTAGTTTGCATTCCTCGCGTACTAGTGTACCCAATGGTAACACAACCGACTGAGGTTCAGGAGAGTGTGCACAAGGTTCATTGTGCAGTTATAACCTATATTAATGCATTACTGAAAAAGGCTTTCATCTCGCTTTATATATATAAAGCAAACCATCAGAGCCACAAGATTCAACAGAGCCTGGATTTCCGCAAAGATGTCGGGGAAGTTGTTGTTGCACCAACGTCCACCGACCACCTCCTGGAAGCAACTCCAAAGGAATTGCGCGGATACACAAGTGAAGAAGATGTGATTCGAGTCCTCCGCCGTCCCACACAGGGGGCAAAGCCGATCACCAGGGCCATTCCTCTTGAGGACCTCCATCTCTGAAGTTACCCGGCCTCAAATCCATTACCACGGGAAGATCCTAATCTTCAACGGAAGTCTAATAGCCTAGATATCGACCGGTGGCTCAGGGCCCAGAGTAGTCGCAATGGCCTGGTATAGCGATTTGGCAGAGAATCGGCCCGAAGACTCCAGATGCCAGGAGATGAGATCGCTCGACTGATCCACGTCAGGCGACTGGAGGGTGATGCACTCAAGGATCTCATGCCAGGCGGCATGCTCCAGAGGCCCAACTGGCCGCCGGAACGCGAGGCGCCCTAAGTCAATAAGGGCCACCTCGATGGAGATCCTAGGTTCCACCGCGATGGAGAACAAGTCCAGGAATCATGTGGTGAAGGGGCGATCCCCACCCCACTTGTCGAACCAGAACAAGGTCGATGCATCGGACACCACCGAGATGGAGGTCCCGATGCGGAGAACCGAAAGCAGCTGTATGATGGACTGCAAGAACTGTGAGCCGCCAGACCACTGACAGAAGGCAAGCAGTTGTCCTTAGGGATATTTTCTCCTGATGATGTCTAGCCAAAGGCCGCCCTCCCCATTTGCAATTCGCCACAACCAACAAGTCAGCAGGGCGATGTTCATGCGTTTGGACGACATGATCCCGAGCCCGCCTTGGTCGTTGGGTTTCCAAATATTGTTGGGGAACGTAGTATTTCAAAAATTTACCTACGATCACGCAAGATCTATCTAGGAGAAGCATAGCAACGAACGGGGAGAGTGTGTCTACGTACCCTCGTAGACCGAAAGCGGAAGCGTTTAGTAACGCGGTTGATGTAGTCGAATGTCTTCACGATCCAACCGATCCAAGCACCGAATGTATGACACCTCCGCGTTCAGCACACATTCAGCTCGATGACGCCACTCGAACTCTTGATCCAGTTGAGGCCGAGGGAGAGTTCCGTCAGCACGTAGGTGTGGCGACGGTGATGATGAAGTTACCGGCGCAGGGCTTGGCTTAAGCACTACGACAATATGACCGAGGTGTGTAACTATGGAGGGGGCACCGCACACGGCTAATAGATTGTCTGTTGTGCCTTTGGGGTGCCCCCTTGCCCCCGTATATAAAGGAGGGGAGGAGGAGGCCGGCCAACAAGGGGCGCGCCAGGGAGACGGGAGTCCTACTAGGACTTCAGTCCTAGTAGGATTCGGCCCCACCATTTTTTCCTTCTACCGGAGGGGGAAAAAAGGGGAAGGAGAGGAAGTAGGAGAAGGAAAGGGGGGTGGCGCCCCCTTCCCAAGTCCAATTCGGCCTCCTCCCTTGTGAGGGCGCACCAGCCCCTTGTGGGCTGGTTAGCCTCCCTCCTATGGCCCATAAGGCCCATATCTTTTCCCGAGAGGTTCCGGTAACCTCCCGGTACTCCGGAAAAATGCCCGTATCACTCGGAACCATTCCGATGTCCGAATGCAACCTTTCAATATATGAATCTTTACGTCTCGACCATTTCGAGACTCCTAGTTATGTTCGTGATCTCATCCGGGACTCCGAACAAACTTCGGTCATCAAATCACATAACTCATAATACAAATCGTCATCGAACGTTAAGCATGCAGACCCTACGGGTTCAAGAACTATGTAGACATGACCAAGACACATCTCCGGTCAATAACCAATAGCGAAACCTGGATGCTCATATTGGCTCCTACATATTCTATGAAGATCTTTATCGGTCAAACCGCATAACAATATACGTTGTTCCCTTTGTCATCGGTATGTTACTTGCCCGAGATTCGATCGTCGGTATCATCATACCTAGTTCAATCTCGTTACCGGCAAGTCACTTTACTCGTTCCATAATGCATCATCCCGTGACTAACTCATTAATCACATTGCTTGCAAGGATTATAGTGATGTGCATTACCGAGAGGGCCCAGAGATACCTCCCCGATACACGGAGTGACAAATCCTAATCTCGATCTATGCCAACCCAACAAACACCTTCGGAGACATCTGCTACGTTGCACGGATACTTGGATATGTATCGGATACGCGATACGGGGATACGCCCTATACGCCAATTTTCTGAAAACATGGATACGGGGATACATTTATATATAGGTATTACATATATTAATTATGAAAAAGATTGAAAACAAAATAGAGCTTCTAGGTCAAAACTTGCCTCAATAGGATTATTCCCTTTGTTTTCTTGCACTTGGTCCACTTTCATTAATTGGTAGTGGGATTTTCCTGGGTTTGTTGTTCCAATCAGTGCATTGACTTTCTCTTGCTCACCTTTCAATTGAACAAGAACATTGACAGTCATGTTTTGGCATGAACTCACACCTATGTTAGGTATCTTCAAAAGGTGTGCCTTTACTATTGAGGGGATTTCACGTCAAACGAGGGGTTTCGGGTATCCAAAAAGTATCACAGAAGTATCCTAGAAGTATCAAACATTATTTTCTTTTTTTAAAATCAAAAAATCAAGGGATACTTACGGGATACGTATCGGGCCGTATCGAGGCAGTATCCGAGTATCGGGGCAGTATCCGGCTAGATACGCGCGCTTTCTGAAGTATCCGCTCAACGTAGGACATCTGTAGAGCATCTTTATAATCACCCAGTTACGTTGTGACATTTGATAGCACACAAGGTGTTCCTCTGGTATTCGGGAGTTGCATAATCTCATAGTCAGAGGAACATGTATAAGTCATGATGAAAGCAATAGCAATAAAACTAAACAATCATTATGCTAAGCTAACGGATGGGTCTTGTCCATCACATCGTTCTCTAATGATGTGATCCCGTTCATCAAATGACAACACATGTCTATAGTCAAGAAACATAACCATCTTTGATTAACGAGCTAGTCAAGTAGAAGCATACTAGGGACACTCTGTTTTGTCTATGTATTCACACATGTACTAAGTTTCCAATTAATACAATTCTAGCATGAATAATAAACATTTATCATGATATAAGGAAATATAAATAACAACTTTATTATTGCCTCTAGGGCATATTTCCTTCAAATATCGGCCAGCAAACCATATGGTATTTTTGCTTATTGCCCTCCCCAGCCCAGAAGAATCTCGCTTCATACTTGGCGATCTCATGATGGAGGGTCTCATGGAGGCCATAGAAGCTCATGATGTACAAGAGCAGGCTAGAAAGTGAGGAGTTGATGAGCACTGTCCGAGTTGCCTTGGATAGCATATGCCCCGCCAAGGTTCGACACGGTGTTGGAGCTTAGTCATAGCCGGTCGTAGGTTCACTATGGAGAGTCGAGAGTCACTAATGGGTATCCCCAGGTAGGACGTAGGGAAGGAACCCAACTGACAATTAAGTTGGTCGACAATGCTCTGACGCTCGGCAGGTGAGTAGCCCATAACCATCACCTCGCTCTTGTCGAAGTTGATCATGAGACCCGACATCTTTTGAAAGCAAAGGAGGAGGAATTTCAAATTTGTGATGTCGGCCGCGGAGCCTTCCACCATGATAATGGTGTCATTGGTGTATTGCAGGAGGGAGACCCCACCCCTCCCACAAGGTGCGGAACCACACCGCGGATGTGACCCACGGTTTTGGCCTTGTCTAGAATGGTAGCGAGAGCATCGACCACCATATTGAACAGAAAGGGGAAGAAGGGGTTGTCTTGTCTAACCCCACATAGGGTGGGGAAGAAGGGGCCGATCTCGTTAATGTTGATCGTGGTCCGCCCGCAGGAGACCATCTGCATGACACGGGTGACCCAACGATCATCGAAGCCCTTACGGAGTAAAACTTCCCGAAGGAAGGGCCAGTGCACCGTGTCATAGGCTTTATATGAAAATCAATCTTCAAGAAGATTGCTTTCTAATGTCTGGCGTGGACCTCATGAAGGACTTCATGGAAGACCAAGACCCCATCTAGGATATATCGGCCTTGGATGAAGGCTGACTGATTTGGATGGGTGATGTGCTCAGCAAGTGAGGTCACCCTATTGGCGTACCCCTTCGCCAGAATGTGGAAGATCACAATGATCACCGTGATCGGGCGAAACTGGCGGATGCCCGAGACCCCTGGCGCCTTGGGGATGAGAGTGATGATCCCGTAGTTAAGTCGGGACAGGTCTATGGAGCCCACGTAGAACTCCTCGAAGAGCGCCATCACTTCATGCTTGATGATGTTCCAGAATGTTTGGAAGAACTTTATAGGTGGGCCATCGGGTCCCGGGGCGGATGCCGGATTCATGCCCTTAATGGCCATCAGAACCTCCGCGTCGGAAAAAGGTGTTGTGAGGGCATCATTCTCGGTTGCCGAGACACGCTGATGCTCGGCCAAAACGTCTGGGGCCAGACCCCCCCCCCCTAGGGGAGGAGAAGAGGGCTTTATAAAAGCCATCGACGTGAGTGCGAATCTCCGCCGGACGTTGGAGGAGGTTATCACTGTCCCATAGGAGAGGGATGATGTTACGACTTCTCCGGCCATTGGCAATGGCTTGGAGGTATGCCGTATTAGCATCGCCCTTGAGGACACATCTCTGGGTACCTCGTTGGCTCCAGCATGCCTCCTCATCAGTGTAAATGACCGTAAGCTGGTCCTCAAGGTCATACCGGAACAACCATTTGTCGGAGGACAAGCCCGAGGAGTTTGCCCGGAGGTCTAATGTCTGGATGGATGCGAGAAGAGCTTTCTTACATTTCCCTCAAATTCCGGCTGAGGTTGTCACCCCCAACCCTTCACAGCAGAAAGGGGCCGGTGAGGGGTTACATGGGCCGCAATCCACCAATCGCGGACGGCCTCGACGAACCCTTGTTGGTTAAGCCAGAAGGTCTCGAAGCGGAACCGGGAGGGGTGGTGGAGGTGGCCACTCACTCTCCAAAGATAGGAGAAGCGGAACGTGGTCAAAACCGATTCAGGTGATGGCCCGTAGGGAGGCTAGGAGGCACCAAAGCTCCCACTCCGGAGACAAGAAAACGCGATCGATGACGGACCGCGTCGGGTCAGCTTGGCGGTTGGTCCAGGTGAACCTGGCACCAACCCTATCTAATTCTCGGAGACCGAGATCAGCAATGTAGTCGTTGCAACAACTGCATCCGTGGGTAGTTGACTAAATGATTGCTCTTATCCTCAACCGAGCGAATCAAGTTGAAGTTGACCCGGAAGCCGAAACTTTCCTCGTAAGCTCGTCGAGGAAGGTCTCGGAACACGGTGGTCGGCGGGGCCGTAGATTATGACAATTTCCAATTTGAAGTTGGGGGCCCTCTCGAAGATCTCCATGCTGCCCACCTCGAAGATGACATCCTTTATGCCTAAAAGGATGCCACCCGAATGGCCAGTGGTCCAACTAGAAGGGAGCTAGTGTCAGGAAAATAGGTCGGTGCTTAACCATTCTAGTTCCAGAAGAACAAAATCCAAACACATGGTTTTTTGGATGGCCACAATGTCGATCCTCTCGTCACGCATGTACTCGATGAGATGGCGGCGTCGGCCATCTTGGCCAAAACCGCGAATGTTCCAGAAGAAAGTCTGCATCAAGGAGCCATCGGGGGACTGCTTGACCCCAGGATGAGGGAGACACTTTGCGCGCGCAAGGCAGTAGTGCCGGAGCGGGTTCGGCCACGGATCTCCACCACCTCCGTCGAGGTCAACCCGACTACGAGGTTTATCAGGGGGTTGGATGTCTCTGTGTTGGAGGCGCTAAGAAGGCGAGCCCGAGTCTCAGCTAATGGCCTAGCGGAGCTGACTCGAGAGCAGAAAATGAGCAATTTGATGAACTTGCAGTGATGTCTGGGGTACCTGTCTCGAGGTTCTGGACGGCCTCTTGGATCTCCGCCCGCTCGGGGATGGACGGTGCCGAACTGTCCACCGGTCTCGCCATGTAAGTCGAGCGCTGCGACGAGAGGCGGTCACCGGTGTCGAGGCAGACCTGATCTGCCTGGAGTAGGCCGCAGTCCATGGTGGGTGGGGATGGAAGGCCACCAGAGTGGTCACCTCCACGGCCGCCACCACAGACACAACCGTCGGGGAAGCAGGGGCCACCTCAGGCAGGAAACTAGCGAGGTAGGTAGCCAGGGGAAGCAGAGGTACGGGATGACTCGGGCGAGGCTGCGTGGGCGCGGGGCCTCCTGGACAGGGACCTCAGCAGCAGGGGCCGGTGGCTAGGTGACCTGGGCGTACTGCCCCGGGAGCCGGCTTGAGGATGCCGCGACAATCACGGCAGGGCCGGCGCGCCCAGGAGGCCGAGCGTGCGAGCCTGCAGGGCCGGAGGAGCGGGTCCGAAAATTGATAAATGACAAGTGATTCGAATTTTTGGTTGGAAATAGCTAACTATATATTCGAATCACGCGATCTATGCATCGGATGGCCCTAAAGCAAGTAGAGGAGTGGTATAGTTAAGTTAATACATTTGGTTCCGTTTTAGGGATTAGTTTTGTATACCTCATAGTATAACTGAATATCTGATAAAAGTACACCCATACTATTAATCTTGTAGTTACAAAATGAGACTAAAATATTTTGCCATGTGTGATCTGCAAGCAGATTTCTGACACACTAAGATTAGACACTGCTATCAACAATAAGGCCAAGACCAACCAGGTCAACTAAAAAGACAAGAACAAGGGGAAACGGTCTAGTTTGTGCAGGATTGAGAAAAAACATACTGCTAGACAAATTGCGAATTCCACAGATTATTACATAATAGCATAGAAATACCTCACCGCAGGATTTAGACCTGATTTACTGTTTATGCTGGTCTACTGCAAAGAGATACTTTACCTGAAACAGTTACACAAAGCTTTGATTGCAAAAGAAAAAGTTACACAAAACTGGGAATCGACTAGGAATAACCGAATGGAAACACTGTTAGTTTCTTTGCTTTGTTTTATTTTTTCGATGAAAAGCACAATCATTTCTTAGTGGCTAAATCCAAAGCTATTTTCTACTATCCTTTTGACAGTTTCTGGCGGTAAATTTGTCATTGGATTTGATGTCACCGTTTGTTTTCTTCACACCCTCTTAACTTCTGGAGATAATAACAAGGAACAGAACCTCAGCATATTAAGAGTCCGAAGAACAAAAAATGAACGCAGCAATCTTCAGGATTCAGATTCTTAGCTGAGATTTGCATTGGTTCTATGAGCTAATGGTCATGGAGTCCGAGCCACAGCCTGGTAATGGTCATGAACCTCACAATACCACAAGTCAGCAACAAAAACTCCAGTGTGATGACCAAACACCGAGTAGTGCTGATGAAGCAGAGCTTCTATGGAACCTGAGAAAGTACTTAATCCTGCTGGCAACTTTATCAGCCACTATCACCTACCAGGCGGGGCTGGCACAACCGGGTGGTCTCTGGCCAGATAACCAGCAAGGCTACCTTGCCAGTGACGTTGTCATGTTTCTTAGCCGCACCAAGCGGTACAGGATGTTCTTCTACTGCAACACAACAGCATTCATTACATCACTCATTGTTCTGATCCTGCTCCTGGTCAGGGAGCTGAGATGGAATGCAATTTGGCTCCGTTCGCTGCAGTTTGCGCTGCTGCTTGACCTGCTCGGACTTGTGGGGGCCTATGCTGCCGGGAACCGCAGGGAGGTCAGAACATTCGTTTATATCTGGGTATTACTTGTTGGCATCTTCACATATGTCGGACTTCATGTAGTATTCTTCCGGCATCTAGCTCCTGAATGGCTTGGAGAAGTATTCAGGGACATCCAGAGGTTCTGGGAGGACTCTGCAGCACACATTTTCAACAGAAGGCGGAACATAAAACATGAGCTAGATGCTCCTATCCAAGATGAAAAGGAGGCACTGGAGCAGAATCGCGGTTTCTTGCTGGTTGCCGCTACATTGGCAGCAATAAAGACATATACTGCAGGGCTCAGTCCACCAGGTGGCAGATCTTACTGGGATGATAACAAGGATAGCCACATTGCTGGTGACCTGGTGCTTCGAGACCAATACCCTCTCGGCTTCAACGCGTTTATGTTCTTCGATAAAACTGCCTTTTCTGGATCCTTTGTCATCATCATCATGCTTCTCAGTAAAACAGGAGTGAATTACATTGCCATGTCAAATGTACTTCGGTTGTGGATTCTGATCAGTCTTATGGCTACTTATGCCGTAGGGAGTCGCAGGAAAATCCATACATCTATCTTTGTGTTCTCACTTTTCGGTGCAGTCCTGCTCTACCTCATCATTCAATGGGTTGCTCGTATAATGCCTAAGCCAGAATTTATCAGGAAGTGCATCAAGTGGATGGAAGGAGAGCAGAAAAAGCTGGTCTTGAAGCTAAACTCCTTTATGGATAGTTGTAGCAGATCCAATGGGCGGGTGCCACGATTACAGTATGATGGACAACATTCATGCAGAAATGGCGCATCAAGCACTGTTAATAATGTGAAAGATGACTTGGGGAAGTTGCAGACATACCTTTTATGGTTTGCCATCCTTGCTGCAACTATTACATACCAAGCTGGGTTGCATCCCCCCGGTGGGTTTTGGCCACGCAGTCGAGATCCAATCCTCGAGGTCATCAATCCCATTCGGTACAAAGCATTCTACTACTGCAACACCACTGCATTTTTGTCATCATTGGTTATCATCATGCTACTCCAGAGCCAGCTGATCACCATAGGCGCCATGAAATGATATGTGCTGCAGATAGCCATGGTTTTTGACCTCTTCAGTATAATGGGGGCATATGCTGCTGGGAGCAGCCAGACTTTATCCACACAAATGTATGTGATAATCTTAGTCATCCTTGTTCATATTGTACTATTTGTGGACGCAAGAGTTCCTGATGGATCAGCTCAGCAGCAAGATGATAACGCTGAAGCAAAACATTTGCAGAAGCGGCACAAGTTTCTAATGCTGCTTGCAGTTCTGGCAACATCCAGCACATATCAAGCCGGCATAAGCCCACCAGGTGGCTTCTGGACTAACAACAGAGATGGCCACCAGGCAGGTCACCCATTGTTCAGCGATGCGTTTCCACGCCGTTACAAGGCTTTCATCTACTTCAATTCCACTGCTTTCATCGCATCATTGGTTTTAGTTGTGTTGCTTGTTAGCAGAAGGCTGTGTCACAGGGGACTGCAGGGATACACACTGCGTGCATGTGTGCTACTAGATCTGATCAGTCTTATGGGTGCTTTTGTCGCTGGAAGCTGCAGAACAGTGTCGGCATCGGTTTATGTCATCCTGATCTCGGCTGTTGTTTTTGCCTGTATCATGATTCAGGTTCTACTACTGAAATTTGCAAAAGATGTGGCAATTGACTTCTTTGACTGGATGTTTCACATCACTGCTTTCAAGCGTCTGAATTTACTCAAGAATTGTGATGGAAGCATCAAAGGGAACAAGAAAACTAGCCAAAAATGGCGTGAAGATTTGATGCTGATTGGAGCTTCCGCAGTGTCTTTTTCTTACCAAGCTGGGATCCTTCCTCCAGGTGTCCTCTGGCCTGGTGACCGCGATGGCCATTTCACATGTGATCTAGCCATCTATGATACACATCCGATGCAGCATAAGGTATACTTCTACTGCAATGCCACAGTGTTCATGGCATCGACAGTCGTAGTTATCCTGCTGCTGAACACCACAATGAGGAAGTACAAGAGATATGCCCTTGCCATGAAAACAGCAATGATGATGGGCATGCTTGGTCTGCTCGGGGCGTATGCTGCAGGCAGTTGCAGGACTTGAAGACATCTGATATATTTTCACACTCTAATCGATGTATTCATCTACATTGTCATTCACATTTTGATGCCGTTCGATATGATGGCGCTATTGCTGAAGAATATGGGAGAACAACAGATGCCATGCCTGACGAAAATATATGATTGCTCATTTAAACTGAACCTTCAAACCATGGGCCATCATCTACTGAACAGACGTGAGAGATGCTTCTAGGCTTCTAGCTGTGTGTCTTAGTTCTTTTCGTGCAATTAATTCAGCTCTGTGTGGTTATGCTAAGAATGTATCTTCTCCACGTTTGAGATTTTTCAATCTTTCACAAACATAGTTTTACATTAATTAATTTTTGAGGGGGAAGCCTGAGTGACTGATACGTCCTAAACATATCTATAATTGTTCATGCTATATCTTGCCTCATTATACAATATTTTATTACATAATGCAAAACTCGTTTAATGAAAGAAACTAGTTTGCATTCCTCGCGTACTACTAGTGTACCAGGGCAGAACCCCCTGCTAACACAAGTGCCTGTGGATCATGGGAGTTTGCACAAGGCTCAGTCTGCAGTTGTAAACTATATTAATGCATTTATTCCCTACAAAATTGGTAAATGACAAGCAATCTGAACGTTTGGTTGAAAATAGACGTGCCAATATGTTTGGATCACACGATATGGCCCTAAAGCAAGTAGAGGGATGGACAGACATCACTTCTTGACTGGCAATAAGATAGCTATAGTTAAGTTAATACATATGTCCTTTTTAAGGGTTAGTTGATATCTCATAATGTATAATTTATTTTATAATCTGAATATCTGATAAATGTACGCCCATACTTTTATTTATTTATTTAGATAGAAATGTACGCCCATACTATTAGATCTTATTGTTGGAAAATGAGACTTTAATATTGCGCCATATGTAATCTGGAAGCTGATTCTCTGACACTAAGATTAGATGCTGCTATCAACAATAAGCTCAAGACCAACCAGGTCAACTAAAGACAAGAGCAAGCGGGACTGTCTACTTTGTGCAGGATTGAGAAAATAAATACTACCAGACAAATTGCAAATGTCACAATCAGTGTTTTGAAGATGATTTCATCAAAGGGATAAAAGAAGCTTATAATCAGCGAGAGATAATAATTAAAAAGGTCATATCAGTGATTAGCACACATTCCTGAACAAGGACAAGGAACACTTCTTACATAATAGCATAGAAATACCGCATTACAGGATTCAAACCCGTTTTACTGTCTATGTTGGGCCACTGCAAGAGATACTTTGCAACTGTTACACAAAACTGGGAATCGACTAGGAATAACCAAATGGAAACATTATTAATTTTTTGTTTCTTTTTCCCTTTTGACGCTAGCATGGTCATTTCCCAGGGCTAAATCTGAAGCTATTTTCTAACATCCTTTGACTGTTTCTGTCGTAAATTTGTCATTGGATTTGATTTCACTGTTTGTTTTCTTCACACGCTCTTAATTCATCGGATTTGATTTCACTGTTTGTTCTCTTCACACCCTCTTAACTTCTGGAGATAATAACAAGGATCAGAACCTGGGAATATTCCAAATCCGAAGGATGACAAATGAACGCGGCAATCTTCAGGCTTCAAATTCTCAGCTGAGATTTGCTTTGGGTCTATGAGCACATGGTCATGGAGTCCGAGCCACAGCCTGGTAATACTGGTCATGAACCTCAAAATACCACAAGTCAGCAACAACATCAGTATGATGACCAAACACCGAGTAGTGCTGATGAAGCAGAGTTTCTATGGAAGCTGAGGAAGTACTTGATCCTGCTGGCAACTTTATCAGCCACCATCACCTACCAGGCGGGGCTGGCTCCACCAGGTGGTCTCTGGCCAGATAGCCAGCAAGGCCACCTTGCCAGTGACATTGTGATGCTACATAGCTACGCCAAGCGGTACAAGGTGTTCTTCTACTGCAATGCAATGGCATTCATGGCATCACTCGTTGTTCTGATCCTGCTCCTGGTCAGGGAGCTGAGCCGGAATGCAATTTGGCTCCGTTCGTTGCAGTTTGCAATGTTGGTTGACCTGCTGGGACTTATGGGGGCCTACGCTGCTGGGAGCTGCAGGGAGGTCAGAACATCCGTTTACATTTGGGTATTACTTGCTGGCATCTTCACATATGTCACACTTCATGTAGTGTTCTTCCGGCATCTAGCGCCTGAATGGCTCCGAGACATATTCAGGAATATCCAGAGGTTCTGGGAGGATTCTATGGCACAAATTTTCAGCAGAAGGCACAACATCAGAGATGAACCAGATGCTCCTCTCCATGATAAAGAGGAGGCACTGGAGCAGAATCGCAGTTTCTTGCTGGTTGCTGCTACATTGGCAGCAGCAGTGACATATACTGCAGGGCTAAGTCCACCGGGTGGCTTCTGGCCTGACAACAATGGTAGCCACACTGCCGGTGACCCGGTGCTTCGAGACCACTACCCCGGCCGCTTCAAGGCATTTATGGCCTGCAATTCCACTGCCTTTTCTGGATCCCTTGTCATCATCATCATGCTCCTCAGTAAAACGGGAGCGAATCACATTGCCAAGTCAAACGTACTTCGGTTGTGGGTTCTGGTCAGCCTGCTTGGCCTTATGGCTGCTTATGCTGCAGGGAGTTGCAGGAAAGTCCGTACGTCTATCTTTGTGTTCTCGCTTGTCGGAGCGGTCCTTCTCTACCTCATCATTCAATGGGTTGCTCCTATGGTGCCCAAGCCAAAATTTATCAGGGACTGGATCAAGTGGATGGAAGGAGAGCAGAATAAGCTGATCTTGAAGCTAAACTCCTTTATGGATAGTTGCAGCACATCCAATGGGCAGGTGACACCATTAGAGTATGATGGGCAACATTCATACAACAACGATGCATCAAAAACTGTTAGTATTGTGAAAGATGACTTAGGGAAGTTGCGCACATACCTTTTATTGCTTGGCATCCTTGCTGCGACTATTACATACCAAGCTGGGTTGCATCCCCCAGGCGGGTTTTGGCCAGACAGTCGAGATGGGCATCTTGCTGGAGATCCAATCCTAGAGGCCATCCATCCCATGCGGTACAAGACATTCTTCTACTGCAACGCCACTGCATTTGTGGCGTCATTGGTTATCATCACCCTACTCCAGAGCCAGTTGATCACCATAGGTGCCATGAAACGATATGTGTTGCAGACAGCCATGGTTTTTGACCTCTTCAGTATAATGGGGGCATATGCTGCTGGCAGCAGCCGGACTTTATCCACATCAATGTATGTGATAATCTTAGTCATCCTTGTTTTCTCTTATGTTGTGCTTCATATTGTGCTATTTGTGGACACAAGAGTTCCCGGTGAATCAGCTCAGCAGCAAGATGATAACCCTGAACTGAAAGATTTGGAGAAGCGGCGCAAGTTTCTAATGCTGCTTGCAATTCTGGCAGCATCCAGCACATACCAAGCCGGCATAAGCCCACCAGGGGGCTTCTGGGCTGACAATAGAGATGGCCACGAGGCAGGTCACCCATTATTCAGTGATGAATTTCCACACCGTTACCAGGCTTTCATCTACTTGAATTCCACTGCTTTCATGGCATCATTGGCTGTAATTATGCTGCTTGTTAGTAGAAGGCTGTGTCACAAAGGATTGCAGGGGCACACACTGCGTGCATGTGTGCTACTAGATCTGATCAGTCTCATAGGTGCTTTTGCCGCTGGAAGCTGCCGAAAAGTGTCGGTGTCGGTTTATGTCATCCTAGTCTTGGCTGTTGTTTTTGCCTGCATCATGATCCTAGTTCTGGTACTGAATTTTGCGAAAGATAAGGTGATCAACTTCTTTAACTGGATGTTTCACATCACTGATTTCAAGAGTCCGAATCCACCCAAGAATCATGATAGAAGCATCAAAGTAAACAAAAAAACTAGCCAAAAATGGCGTAAAGACTTG